ACAAGTTACCACTCAGCTCTTTCTGAGCCAGCCCAGCACCTTTATTCTTAAGGTAAAAGCAGTACAGAGAAAACGTGTAAAAAAACCAAAGTTCCTATACATGTGCTAACAGTTGACCTGAGGTCACCTGCAGCCTTAGGGGGACCTAACAAGCCAAAGTCTTTCCCACTCTTCTGCAAGGGCTGGGGCCCTTGGACAGAAGGTCCGGTCCGTTTGCTGGATCAGAAAGAAGACCTGAGCCTGTGCGAACCCAGCTCTTTATCCAAATGGCCTTGCTTTGTGGGATGGTGTCTGGAATCAGTCTCTGCTCTCTGGAGATGTTATAACCTGCGTGATTTGCCGTCATCATCTCCCACGGTTTGTGGTTCCTGGAGAAGCTGCGGGAGCCCTCCTCACAGGAGTTCAGTAAAATCCTTAGCTCACGGTGATACACAAACTTAATATAATACAGGCCCCAAAGACATTGCACAGGATGGCATCACCTGTCACACGGCGCCTGGCAGCTCCTACCCGGTTTGTAGATGATAAGGGCAGGAGAGGACATTGGATCATCCTGTGTGATCCCCCCGCCCACCATAAGCAGGGAATGCTCAGCTGGTCTCCTTCCTGGGCTGTGGCTGGGCAGTGCCACGCATAGCAATGCCCAGCTCACCTCTACCTGCATACAGCGAAAGAGCTTCTCATCCCCGGGTGATTCTGTCACTCAGAGGGGTTGGTGTCAGACTCCTCATGCTTTCCAGGAGCAACGGGAAACACACACTGGCCTGCAGCTAATCCAAGAGCAGCCACTGAGCCAGCATGCCCATCCCCACCTGTCATTCAGCACAGGCCCAAAGGAGGCCCACAGGGAGGACAGCAGCTGCCACGTGGAACATCAATGGTAGCATGAAAGGGACGATCCTCAGGGTGCCACCAAAGAGGACGAGGACCCTCTGGGGTTTTACTGAAGACATACTGAGCCAAATTTCCCCCGGGTGTAAACCCAGAGAAGGCATAGGGTTCCACCAGGGATAGACTTGGCCCAATGAGGCTGTCTAGCCACAGTCCAGTCCCATTTGAACCAGATTATCCAGCCACATGGGAGTTCTCCATGAGAAGTCACTTTAACTAGATCCCCTCGCACTGTTGAGCTCAGTGCCATGATTAGCACAGTCCTTCCCCACCTGCAGGGATCACACAAGCTCTCGGGACGCACCTTCCCTTAGTGACTCATGATCACAGGCGCAGCTTCTCCCATTTTCTAGGAGCTGCCCTGTCACCACACTTCCATGATTGCTGTTCTGCAGATGAGTGTGCACCCCGGGTCCTGAGATTCCACACTGCTCTCCCAGCCCCACTCATTACAGTGCTGCCAAAGCTTATGGTTTTATCACAAGTCCTGGGATATTTGGTTGGGCTTCTTAAAGCTCCAGCTTCTGGAGTCATGTGATTAGGTGAAAATCCCAGCTGTAATTTTTTAAAAGGTTGGTTCCACAGAAAAGCTTGAAAATGTGACTCAAATGCAGCCCGAAAGCTCAGAAACAAAAAGCAAATCCCCCTGCTCAAGACATTTACACATTTTCTAATAGCTTGTGATTTTTAACCCATTCTGATGCTTGTTGGGTCTTGATGCATGATTTCTGAATGCAAGAGTGGGTTAAGCTGAGTCAGGGAAATTCCTCCCTCATCCCTAGCCCCTGCTGAGTGGGAATCCTGCAGTTCGCCCAGTGGTGATCTCTCCTGAGCTGACCAAACTGCAGAAGATCCCCCTGAAAATGCTTCCATGCCTGCCAGTCCCTCTGGTTCTGTGGGCCAGGGCCCTGGGGCATACACATTTAAAAACCATCTGTACGCACTGTTAGCCAACGCAAGCCTGTATTCACACCCTACACACCACTGGAATAGTCTTGTACAAAATATGCCTTGGAAGGTATCATTCGAAAACTAGTAAGCCACTGGTCAATAATATCAACAACATACATAGCAACCTTATGTGTAAAGTTCTGACATCCCCCTGTGTGATGTTGAAGACACATGTTCAAACCTGCACAGCCCTGACTAGGTGGAACTGGTCAAGCAGGCCTGGCTTAAACAAAGGGGTGTGTGTTTACCTCATTTTACATATAAGCTGTAAACAGAGTCCCTTCAGACAGTGAGAGAGGGGAGAAAGACCACAGAGAAAATCTGCATTTCAGAAAAGAAACAGCATAACACCTCTTTCCTCCACCAGATGCCCTGTCTCCTTGCTCCCAGCTAGAAAGAACCTTAACTAGGGGGCACGCTCAGGAAAATGCTTTTCAAAGGGTGACAGGTCAACAAAAGCAAGAGGCAAAACACCTCCGGGTCTCCCTCCCTGCCCACCTCTCTCTAAGACAAGAGACGTTGGGCTTTGGGAGCAGATCCTGACCTGAGAGTTCGGTCAACAATGCTACTGGAAAGCTGTCGCAAGAATTTCACCTTGAACCACGTTCTAGTTTGTTACGTTTAGTACTAGGAAGCTTTTTGATCTTTATTTCTCTTGTAAGGGTTTCTGACTTTAATGCCTTATACTTGCACTCACTTAACACCTAGCTCCTTGTACTTCAGCAAACTTGTCTGACTTGCTAATCAAACCTAATCCAGTGTTGTGACCTGCATGGGTAACTCCTCTGAAGGCAGCAAGCTGCCGTGTGCTGATCTCCTTAAGGGACCGAATACATCTGGACTGTCCGGGAGGGGGCTAGACAGTGAAGAACACACGCCTTGGGGAGACGATTCGGGACTGGGCGTGTGTTGGGGTCACCCCACAGGCAGTACTCAAGGCTGCTAGAAGCCAGAGTGTGGCTGATGTGCCGCTGACAGGCTGCTGGGGTCACAGCTGCTGGACCAGGGCTGTGGATCTACACAGATACTCAGGACGTCAGGAGCCCAGCTTGGGAACTACAGCAGCAAAGTACTGTGAGGCACACCAGGTTGCAGGTAGGGGTGACACAGCCCCTCACTGGTCTGGATTGCACCCTGGAATGTCATGACCATATTATCTCCACACCCACGATCCCCCTGGAAACCTGATTTTGGTTTAGAACCGATCTCCACGGCCAAGCCTGCCATGTTGTGGGACTGGGGTATAGCACAGTGCTGGCCTGGCTGTATGCATGAGATCACAGAGTGTTATAAACCAGCGTGGAATCAATGATGATTTTCACAGCCTGTCCCTACTACAAAGCTACCCTGCGCCTTGCTAGATATCCAGGTAGTCCGACCCTTCAGCAAAGCCACAGCTCCATCTCTGCTATCTGCTCTTCCAGTCTCATTCTCCAAGGGAGCTAACAACTTGTGCTCTCTCCCTGTAGCTCGTTTAGTTTCTTTGGTGTGTATTTCTGTTCATTAACTCACAACATTTGTCCCTTTCAAATCCTTGCTCATCCTGAATTGTTCTTTCCCCTCCTACTGTTGCTTTACTCTTTGGCCTCGACACTTGCAAGATTTTATGAGGGTGAATAAACGCAGCTGGGGGATTTCCCAAGCATCTCACTTCTCCAGAGGAGGTTACTTTAGAGAGAGGATTTATCCCGATCCACGGAATTTGGCCAAATTTCCAATTTCTTTACAGTCTCAGTTTTCAAAGGCTCGTACGTTATTTTCATTTCCCCTTTTCCCTCTCCCCTCCCTGCGCTGCCTGGGACCTTTACAATCCAAAGCGAGACAAACAAGCTGGGGTTTGCACTTTTCTAACATTTGTTTCGAGTTTTCTCTTTCCTATTCCCAGCAACGCTTCAAGCGATTTCCTCTGCAAAACTCCAGCTCTCAGCATTCTGGCTGCAGCCGCAGGAGTTTGATTTGACTGAGTAATCAAAAGATGTTTTACACCAAACACAACAGGCCGGATCAGCCTCCCTCCCAAGCCATCCCACTGGGGCATGCGCTGATTCACGCCAGCTGAGGATCCGGCCCCCTGCGTCTCCCAGCACTAAACGCTTATGTCAATCACCCCCAGCCCAACACTGGAATGGGAGAGGGGCCCTAAGCAGCACAGTGGTTTGTTGCCTTGCATAGCCCAGGAACCTCCTAACAGCCATTCAACTGGCCTTGCACAGTGTTTGTCTGGTCCCATACTGTGTCCTAGAACTGAGATTTATCTGGTGGGTCACTGGGAAGCCGCAAACCACCCCCCGTCCCAGGCCCAGGGGACAGGTTTTCCTTCCCTCCTTTAGCGATTTTTTCTGTAATTTGCTTTCGTACTTGCTAACTATGGCCCCAATCCAACTTCCATGGATGTCGAGAGACGGGCTCTCATTGATTTCAGTGAGTTTTGGATGAGGCCCAGGGAGTCCGGTTCTGAGCTGCAGATTGCCCTTGGCTCCCACTAAAGCCAATGGCGCTGAGGGCACTACCGGAAGCACTCAGCACTTTGCAGGATCTGGCTCTAACAGCAGCAGGCTACAGACCTCAGGCTGCAGTCTCGGGCCCTGTGTGCAAGCACCCGCCCGCCGGGATAGTTCACAAATAAGTCACTCTCCACTCGGCCACAGGGAGCGCAGTGCGGAAAGCCCAGGCCTAGGGATAGCAGAGGAGGTGCTGGGTGAGCTTTCCCGGGCTAACCAAGGGAGTGACTGGCTGAGATGCAGCTAACCGGAGAGCTAGGTAAGAGTCAGCCAGCGATGTGGGGTCCCTGGGTTGCGGGGAAAAGGGAAAGCAAAGCTGGGTTTTGCTCTCACCATCGGCTTTTCACAGTGCCTGCGAGGGGCAATGGAGACGCTTGTGGAGTGCAAGTTCCCGGTGCAAGAGCAGGACTCTGGCTGTGTTTGCTGGGGACAGGGTGGCACACGGCCTGGGGTCTAGCCCACCAGCGCATGTGAAAGTGCAGCATGAAAAATGGAGCACTTTGCTCAGCTGGATTCAGGTCTAGTGTAAAGATCCAGCTGCGAGAAGGATGGGGCTAAGGCACAGCAGGAGAATACAGAATTAAACCAACCCCATCAGCCAACCGCCCCGCACCCAGAGCCGCCCACCCAGTGCGCAGGCAAGGAGGAGTCACTCACTTGTGCGTATCGGTGTGCAAGAGAGCAGCAGCGCTGCTAGGAACAGCCCAGCCTCCATGGGGTGGGAATGCCAACTCCCTGCTCTGCCTCTCTTCTCTGCCTCCCGGCACTTCTTAGCCTGTGTCCAGAGGCAGGGGCCTCGCACCAGGAACCCCCGAGGGGCTGCACTGTTTCGCTACAGGACCGCGGAGACAAAGCCGGAGGGAGGGGAAGCGTCTCCACTCCAGCCTTGGGGAGTTTCAGAGCTCGTGGCGATGCAGAAGTGGAGGAAGCAGCAGAACCGGAGCCGGCCGTCGTGGGCTGGCGAGGCGGCTGCCACTTGCTGCGCCCGGGCTGCTCTGCAGCGTGGAGGTGCTGTGTGGGACTCACAATGCCTGAATGGGCAGCACTGACTCAATCCAGCCCTGATGACGCGGCGCGGCAGGAAATTAACTCCCTTTAGAGGAGGGTCTGCCAAGCGATCGCCTGCCAAAGGAAGAGAGGAAATGCCGTTTTCAGAGGTCTGGAGCCTCTGCTGGAGGTCATGCTCTGACAGCACGACGGGAGCTGTGGCTCAAGGCTGAAGGAGAGCAAGGGAGGGCGCCTTGCACTTTCGGTTCCCTCTGCAAGGAGGAGTGCAGCCGAGAAGGGGTTCCCAGCACATCTGGAGCTCCTGGAAGTGGCTCTGCTTCCTGGCCTCCATGTGGGTCTGCATTTTCTTTTCTCCTGCCCTCAGCCAACCCGGTAACTGATACTATCCCCTGGCATGGCTTCATCCCCAGGAACAACTGTACGGGCCACACTGGGGAGTGATTTCTGGCTTCCCAGCCAGATTCTGCATGGAGACAGATAGTTGGGTTTGTGAGCATGCCTCAGTGCGACTGCAGCATGTGTGTGGACACCGCCCTGTTCTCAAGTCCCAGCCACTGAATCCTTCCTTTAGGATTCCTGAGAGGGAGTGTGGTCTAATGATCAGTACCCAGGCCTGGGATTCTATTCCCAGCTCTGCCACTGACCTGCTGGGTAACCCTGGGCAAGTCACATCACTGCTCTGTGCCTCGGTTTCCCCTGTCAAATGAGGCTGCTAATCTCTTCCCGCCTCTGAGGGGTGGTGAATCTAGAGTGCTTTGGATGGAAGGGGACAGAGACGGACAAAGCATCTTTCTGCGGGGGCTCCCAGTGTCCTTTCAGGGGGTACGACGGGAGTTTGACGGGCTGTCTGAGGCCAAACGGGGAGTTCCCATGCCCAAGCTCAACAACATGGGGCACAGTGTCTATGCGCTGGAGAACACAGACACTGCAGCCTCTCCCAGGGCATTCTCAGAGCCTGGCTAGCACAAGGACCTACGAGGGGGAGAGGAAACTTTTCAGGCAAAGCACAGTAGAAGAAACTTTTCTCTAGGTTAGCAGCAGACCCCCCCACACACACACACAACACAGCCTGACAGGACTACGTGTTCTCACTGGCATATGGCTGATGGCGCCACTCCATGGGTAGTGCTGAAGAAGTCAAAGGGCTGCTCCATGCTACAGTAGCAGCTGAGGCAGAGGACCTGTTGCAACCTGGCTCCAATTGTAGTGCCGATGGGCTCTTAGAAACATAGAATCAGAGAACATTAGGGTTGGAAGAGACCTCAGGAGGTATCTAGTCCAACCCCTGCTCAAAGCAGGACCAATCCCCAACTAAATCATCCCAGACAGGGCTTTGTCAAGCCAGGCCTTAAAAACCTCTAAGGATGGAGATTCCACCACCTCTCTAGGTAACGCATTCCAGTGTTTCACCACCCTCCTAGTGAAATAGTGTTTCCTAATATCCAACCTAAACCTCCCGCACTGCAACTTAAGACCATTACTCCTTGTTCCGTCATCTGCCATCACTGTGGTCTGTCCCTTAGCTGTGGTCTGTCACTGGACATGGCCAAGGCTTTAGCCTGGCTAGGGAATACAGCTGAGGTCCTAGGTAGGCTACAGCATGGAACTGCCTTTCACCCCGCTCAGGGGACAAGCATGTTGTTACAGGCCATAATTGATGCCCGGGCAGGGTCTTAGTCCCACGGCCATATGTGAGAGCAAGAGTGACTTGTTAAAGGCTCACTAAGGACACTGCTAAAGAGCTATTGTTGATATAACAATGGGACTTCATGACCTCAGAAGCCAAGGTCCCATAGTAGCTGGGGGAGGGAATCTCCCTATTTCTGGTGGGCTTCATTCCCCTATCAGGCCATCCCAGCAGATCCTTCAAAAAAAAAGTGTTGTTTTTCCCCCCAGCCATTAGAACGTACCAAAGGAGAAGAATGTTTGTAATTGCTCACTGGAAGGCTCTGGGTGAGCCCCCAGGATAGGTCCCCCGGGCTGGGAGGGGTTGGCAAGGTAACGAATCCCATCTGAAGCAGAGAGATTCACCCCCACCCCACTTGACCCTGGCCCCCAACTCCAATAAGTCCCAGCATAAGCAGGCTAAAGGAACACGTCTATGTGAAAGGGTGGATAGCACCACGGAAGGGCCGAAGGGCTCACAACAGTGGAGCACCAGGGATGTCCTGGGTGAGAGGAGGAGGCTGGGACTTTGCCAGGTTGGGTCTTCACAGGGCAGGCCAGGCTCTGTTTAGATCTCAGCTCGTGACATGCTGCTCTCACAGTCCGTGATCACCCCCTGCTGCGTCACCCTCCCACAGCCCTGCAGCAGCTTCTCAGCAACTCCTCTGCCCTTCTGGGCCGCCAGCTCGGCCCTGACAGGTGGTGCCACCATCTTCGGTCATCCCTCTGCTCCCGAACCCACCATGCCACATGCCCTCTTCCCCCAGTGGGCCTGGAGACTCCTGTCGGCAGCTTTTCTGAGGCATTCCCGGCTCCCTCGCCAACTCACTGGCCTTCCACCTCTAAGCGGGCAGGGGACATGGGGGCCCTTTTCCCAAGCAGGCATCCAGAGCCCACACTTGGCCCCTCACACCGGCTCGGAGACCTGGGCAGGCACCAGAAAGGTGAGCTGTAGAACTGGGATCTGGATTTCAAACACCCCAAGGAAACTGGAGGCATGTTTGGCTCTGGGGAGGAGGGCTCACAGTTCCCAAAAGTGATTTCGGGTGCCCAGTGGGGAATGCCTGCAAAAGGGCCTGACCCTCCAAGGACGGATGTTCAGCACTTTCGGACCCTCAGGTCCCACTGGGGTGCCTCGTGCTGGGCTTCCAAAAGTCACCCGTCGCTTTTGGAAATGTAGGCTAGGGTGTCCGGTTTGGGTGCGTTTCTTGATTTCAAGCCCCTAGATGCCAGTTGAAGCATCCAAGGGTAGGATCTGACATCCCAGGCTTGGAAAGTGGCTGGGGATGCCTTGGGATAAACAGCTGGCCAGGGGATCAAAGGCCGGAGCATCAGCAGCTGTTTAATGGCACATAAAATATTGGTGTAACTTGTGGGCGGAGAACGGGAGTCTCGAGGACTCAAAAAACAGAGTGACTGGCTTGGACACAGGCCTGAAACCAGAGTGAGGAGCCAGCCAGAAAGCTAATAGATCTAGCAGAGGAATGGGCCCAGCTGGCGTAAATCAATATAGAACTAATACAGTCAACAAGCCACCCACGGAGAGCGAGACGGCAAAATACATGCTGGAGTTGGGATCCAATGGGTGGGAGGTGGCGATTCCCTCGGCCTCTTTCGATGCCCCTCCCCTCCGCTTGGAACACCATCCTCTTCCATCCAGACCCTCCCTTAAAACACAGTCCTTCTGCGGCGCCTGTCCACAAGGATTCCTCCAGCGGACGCCCGCACCGCTTCCAGTTGGGCCCTACATCCGGCGCGTTACGTGTCTGGTTTGGACTCGGAGCATGACTCTCTCCACGCTGCACAGCCCTGAGTGTGCTGAGAGCGCTTTCTCAATAGACTCCTTCCCCAGTGGCTATTCACTTCGGGAGGATCAAAGACTCAACAGAGACATGCACGGAACGGTGCAGCTCCTAGACGCAGCTGCATTCCCCCCTCCCTGCTGTCTTTGGCCTTGTCTAGATTAGATCAACAGATCGATTTGTCCTTCTGGTGTGTGTGCATGGGGGGGGGGGGATGCCCTTGCCTGCACACACAAATTTGTTATGATCAATTTTTCCCTGGTGAGTCCACAGCTCATGTTACCCTGATTACAGGTTGGGATGGACGTCAATCAGAGCAAGCTCCTTGATTGCAGAATAGACAACAGGACAGAGCTGCCTTCAGAATGGGGGACACGGATCCCCATATGCCAGGGCCTGGCTGATGGAACTGACACACCGCAGTCTGTGACCTCCTTTTGTCCACCATTAACATCTTCTTTGTACGCTTCGATTCGGCTTTGGCTTTTCCAGCGGGTGATTCCTCCCCTGGAGATGCCGGGGAGCAGAGGGTGCTCGCCACCTTGCTGAGCTGGGCCTGTCGCTCTGAGAACTGTGATCCCAAAGTAACTGGGGATTCTGCTGAGCCAGATCAATTTCTAGAGCACCCATCAACCAGCACAACAGAGCTCAGGAAGCCGGACTGCAGAAGCTTCGGAGTATGTAGCTGTGGTGAAACTTACACGGGAGGGAGGAAACTCCTGCGCTCTTCGCTGCCCTGCCATTTTTATGGCTGGGGACAATTTTTAATTTTTGCTTTTCTATTTATGTTCACTGGTGGGGGCAGTCCAGCTCCCTGCTGCCTGGGAGAAGCTCCCTCTCCTGGGTCTGTCTGCATGCATTTTCGCTTCCATGGCCCTTTGACACCATCTCTCTCCCCTGCCCATCTGAACAGCAGCCACTGGCTCAGCAGCCACAGACCTCTGCCCCATGTCAGATCACAGTAACAAAGATCAGCCTCTTCCCAGCACGCCTGTCTCATGCTACCACTGTCCAATAGCCGGAGACTCTAGCCATCGATTGTTACCACAGTAACAGAGCACGCCACAATCTTTAATGTTTTTATCCTCACAACACCGATATGGGGCAGGGCAGTGCTGGTATCCCCAGTTTACAGATGGGGAAACTGAGGCACAGAGCGACTAAGTGACTTGCCCAAGGTCACACAAGAAGTCCATAGGACAGCAAGGAATTTATCACACATGTCCTGAGTCCCAGGCTAGTCCCCATACTGCTGAGCCACTCTTCCTCTCCTCTTATAAAGTTTTGCCCCCTGGAGACAGAAGACTCAGTTCTTCTCTCACACCACTTTTATTCCAGTTTACCTCTGACTATACTGGAGTTATTCTTGAGTTATGCAGTGTATGAGAGTAGAATTGTGCCCAGAACATATAGATGTAAGCCTACCCCGCTCTGTTCCTTCCCCTGTTTGATGTGAAAATCATTCTGGACATTCACCTTCTTACTCACTATTGTACAGATGTGCTGATGACATTCGTAGAAGTGGACTCGTTTTAATATGGTTTTAAATGGCAGTGTAGGTAGCAGTTGT